AGGTGTCTGCTGCTTTGCCATCTATTTGGGTACCTTCTTTTTTATAGCAAAAGAGGAAGGAAGCCCTGTTCTGTTCCCTGTTGCTGAAACATCAAGTGTATCAGGAGATTTGAGGAGAACAGAAATCCAAATCTTTTTTTGTCACAGGGGATATTAAGGACATGTTTTTATGACTTCCACACTATTTTCAATGAACACTTTTGTTGTATTCTCTTTTAAACAGTATGACTGTATCAAAATGATGATGTCGTTAATAGAGGGAGATACCAAGCTAACTTGATTAAATATGAACAAAATGAGTTGACTACATGTCATGACATGTATTGATTTTAAAATATATTCTTCTTAGTTGTAATGCTTTTTGGGGCTTTCCCTTCCCTGTAGTGTGTTATATAGGTTTTTGTGCATGTAAATGGTCTGACAAGGCTAAAATCCCTGTGTTGCCTCCAGAGGGAATATCTCTCCCCCCCCTGACCAATCCCAACAGAGCCAGACAGCTAACCAGTCAGAGCAGACTGGGCACTGGTTTCAGACAGAGGGTGAAAAGAGGTGCTGCAGCACAGGCAGTATGAGGAAAATAAATACCTTTTTGAACATTGAAGCATGGAGACAAGCCACAGTAGAGAGACACAAAATACAATTATCAACCTAAAAATGAGCATGATATGATCTCCTTAAGTACATTTCTACCAAACACTTGTGGTTTCAATGTAATTTCAGTCATATTGCCCAGCCCTATTTTAGATAATACCTTCTTACTATCTACACTGTTACATTACCTACACTGTCATCCCTATTTATACTATTTCTCTAATAAAATCAGACAAGACATTCATTATTTAATTTGAATATTGTATGATAAATGGAAGTATAGAGAATTGTTTATATAAGTAATAAGGAGGTTACGATTTACAATCTAGTTCTCTCCCTAATGATTTAAAGAACAATCCTACCTCTGGTTAGTAAGCTATGTTGAAAGGTGTTGCAGGGTTGGTGTGTGTATTAAACATGAAGAGCATTGACCTAGAATTTATCTTTGATTGATCACATCCCATTTCCTTTTTCAGTTAGCCCCGCTCCCACCACCAACCCCCGGCACACATGCACAATTCATCCCCCAGTCCTGGTCATTTATCTGATAGTGCCTGAGAGCTCAGTGTAACAGCTGGGGTCAGAGTAGAGAGGCCCTGTGTCCCTCCCTGGAGGCTGTAGGATCTCAGCCCTTCTGAGAGAAGAGCAGTGGTGGAGTGCACACATGTTATAGAGACCTAAGCATTCTAATGTCATTGTTTTTTGTCCTTACCAAGTGGAAGATTTGATCAGAGGCTGAGAAAGTCCTTAACATAACAACCCAAAGAAAACATGCTACTGTGTCAGTTCTGCAAACAAGAGGAAGAGCAACACTTCCTGATTTACAGCATGTGTAAAGAGTGGAGAAGCAAATCATGTGCTGCAATAACTCAAATAACAAGAAACTAAAGAAGCTCTTAGACCAAAACAACCGGAAAAAAGTCATGTAAGCAACAAATAGGCAAAACAAATCTTCAAACCTAAATGAGATGAAGCAGTGTGTACACTATCAGTGTTTTTCCAGCAGTTTTTCCAGCTATCAGTGTCCCTGAAGTGCCACATTTGAAAGAGGGAGACAGAAGGGATCATACGCGGTAAATGATTCCAGGCTGAATTTGAACCCTAGTCCTCCGCACGAGGACCGAGCCCCAGTATATGGGCTGCCAGCTCACCCAATTTAATAATCAGATGACAAATTGGTTAATCGAAAGACATCACCTTGGACTTTGAGGAACTGGGATAGACACTATTTTCTGCCATTTTATACCAAACCTTAAAGGTTTATTATGCTCATCTTCAGGTTCTTATTTTTGACATGTTTCCATGCTTTAATGTTCAGAAAGCTCTTTATTTTTCTCATACTGCCTGTGCTGCAGCACCTCTTTTCACCCTCTGTCTGAAACCAGAGCCCAGTCTGCTCTGATTGGTTAGCTGGTTGTGATTGGTCAACCGCTTATAGATGTCCCGACCATCATGCACAATGTGTTGGAGCGCTAGCCAATGGAAGCGCAAGTATTAAATAGTGATGTCACTTATGGTAGTAAGCGTTTCACCTATATAACACAATACAGGAAAGCGACAACCCCCAAAAGCATAGTAAGGCGTCTTTAATTGGCAGATGCATTTATTATAAAACAATATACAGTTAGTTGCCGCTGTGGTGCACAATGCTGTTGTCTTCTTGCACTTTAAATGATTATACTTCAATTGTAAACCTTGTCCAACCTACTGTAGCAGCACTGTACTTACTGTAGTTATGATCCTGCCAATAAAGCTCTCATGAATTAAAAAAAAAGAAGACAGAGACCTATGGTTGTGAAATGAGGCGAGGCAATGCTCAGAAGATTCCCACTGGACAATATACAGTACACACACACACACACACACACACACACACACACACACACACTCTCTCACTCACTCACTCACTCACTCACTCACTCACTCACTCACTCACTCACTCACTCACTCACTCACTAACTCTCCCTCTCTCTTGCTGCCATCCTCTTGTTCCCTCAGCTCACTCACCCATGCTCTGCTCGCCTTCCCATGCAAAGAGCGGATTCTGTCATGAGCGTTCCCATCCCCCACCACTTCCCCCAAGGGAGAGAGGGAGAGGAAGTGTAAGAGTGGATGCTGTCTTGACTCCATAAAGCAGAATGCACGCCAAATGAATACATCATCATGCTAATTAAAGTAACAATGTGTTTTGGTTATGGGAGGCTGGCATGCTTTCAAGTAGTTTGGCTCAGCTGAATATGGGAAATCTGGTCAATTGCCATCATGACAATGATATATAATACAAGAAATTATATATTTACAACTTGCTCATAAGCTGTGCTATTGTGGGAGTTAAGGTGCATCATTCTAGTGATGAGGTCCTCTGATGCTCTTCTATCCATTTACCTTTTTTTACACGTCAGCCATTAACCTACTGTATTGTGATTCCGCACTTGCATCTGCCATTTTTCTCTCTAGATTTGGCTCTGCTTTGACCTCCACAGTTGGCTGAAATTTTGGGAATTTAGTCTAACTAGATTTACCCGGGCTGAATCACAGTGCTGTTTTTCTTCTTAGGCTAAGGCTAGTGTTATTATCCTTGTATATTGTTATTTTTCCCATCAAATCCAATGACTCCTGCCCTGTGTCTCTGGCACTCAAACTCATTTGAAAAAACAGGTGAGAAATATATATTTTTGTTGCATTAGTCAGTTATCTCTGGTTAATTGTGGGTAGAATGGCACATGCAGTTATTAAGACTAGCATATTAGCATATAGTTTTACACATGGAGCAGACATGGAAAAACAAAAACATTTTTAAGTTATGTTTCTGGCCAACTGATGAATGCAAGTCTAATGTAATTTTCTTCATTTCGCTCTGTTTTTGTCGAAACCAACTACTGAGAACGTCCTCATAAGCTTTACTAAATGCTACGCTTGCTAGTTTTTTGCTAACTTTGTCAGTGTAGGTAAACCAGGGTTGCTAACTTTGGGTACCTGGCTGGAGTGAGATTTTGATATCATGGGTTTAATTACACATATATTATGCGCACTAAATGACTGCTATCGTGTCAGTAGCGGGACCTTAGCATATATATAGGATATATATACAAATACACAATATTGGACACAGACTATAAAGGGCACACCGTTTCATTCACTAATGAAAGTCAAACACATGTTTGTTTCCACTGTTTTATTGTGTGCCTGTCGTGATAAGGAAATAATTGACTTACCGTACGATAAATAAAAATGAACTCAGTCAGTGGTCTAAAATGGTCATACAACGGTGCCGACAATATCGTTTATTGCAATAATTTCCGGGAAAATGTGTCCAACAAAATTAATTATCGTGAGAGGCCTATACATGAAACACACACACACAAACAAATCTACAGACTTACTCCAAACTGCCAAATATATTAATTAACACCCTCTAACTTGAACCTGATTTCATACCAATTTCCTCATCGAGGAACAGACAGCGTTTCTCAGTGTCTCTCCTTACGTAACCTTTTTACTT